TTTTCAATATGAAAATGCCATGTTATATGCAAGTCATCTCACAGAGATTATTCATTAATACATCAGTATTAAATTCGCAGGGCCGTGTGCAGTAGAAAACGTCAGGTTGTCAATGCTGGCCGACTCTAAAAAATATATAGCCACTATTTACATCTGGCCAAGGTATTGTCGTTTTTCATTTCAGATTACTTAGAAACATAATTGGATTGTAGCGATAAGATCTGTCATTAACAGCTCAGATTTTCATATCATATCAAAGTTTTGCCAAAGGGAAACCATAATGTGAAGAAATGAAGCTCACTGATTATACGGTGTACACAAAATTAGGCAAATTAGACTTCACAATTTTAAGAGTACCAAAGAAATCATTGCTATTAAACAACAATTATTGTTTCAGTGTTTATATGCATCATTACGCAGATAATGTAACTGAGGGTTGATGGGGCACATTAGAACAAACCGAGAGTAGGAGGAAAAACAGCACATGGAAAAACGAACATATCATTAGTGACAAGGGGTGTGATTAAGCAGTGCTAACTTTGTAATACTGTAATATGAAATACTTATAGTACATTTCTATTTTAGTTTTTTCTATGCTGAAAAATAAACATTGTCTGAAAATAATAGACAATCTATAAATAATTTGTCATTTCAAAGAGATAAACTCAACTATAGAACTGTAAAGTACACTTGACCATTAAAAAAAAATCCTTGCAACCCACTTTACTTCTGTAATGTAACAAGGAAGAATTTTATGGAATTTAGTCATCAGGAATAACTTAAAAGCGGTCTCATTTGAAGGGTGTTGAAGAATAGGAGGACTTGATGACATCAGCCGAAATGGAAAGTCGTTTCAGGGGCGGAGCCTCTTTGAAATAACTCACAATGAAATCAGGAATTAAGCAAGGACCAGTATTAAGAAAGACTGATGATGCTTAAATGTACACTACCATTCAAAAGTTTGGGCTCAGTAATTTTTTTAAAGAAATTGCTATTTGTATTCATCAAGGATGCATTCACATTATCAAAAGTGACCGTAAAACATTTACAATTTTACAAAATATTTGTATTTTAAATAAACGCTGTTCTTTTGAACTTTCTATTCATCAAATCATCTCTTTTCATCAATGTATCACCAGTTTCCACATAAATATGAAGCAGCACAACTGTTTTCATCATTGATAATAATAAGAAATGTTTCTTGAGCAGCAAATCAGCATATTAGAATGATTTCTAAAGGATCATGTGATCGTGTGAAGAGTAAAAATGCTGAAAATTCACCTTTACCATCACAGAAATAAATTACATTTTAAAATATATTTAAATAGAAAACTGTTATTTTAAATTGAAATACTATTTCACATATTACAGTTTTTACTTTATTTTTGATAAAACTAATGAAGCCTTGGTAAGACTTCTTTAAAAAAAAAAAAGCTGACTGACCCCAAACTTTTGAACAGTGGTGTACAGCTGCATATCCTGAAATGTAGTTTCTGTGTTTTTCACCTGCTTTGACACATATGTAGGATTGCAAAATGTATCTAACTCCTCTTCAAGAAACTTCTCTTTGTTCTCTGCATCTTTCTGCTAAAACTCCAACTCTCTGAAAGGGAGGAGGCAAGGACACCTCAGACACTCAAAGCACAAACTCCACACAAGACGGCTGACAGGAACACCGACATCAGTCAATCAAGAGTGCATTGTGACAGCCGCAGTATAGAGCAGAAAAATCGATATCCCATTGACTGGGCCACTGCAGCCTAATCAAGGTGCCCAGACCTTTATGAAATCTTGAAGGAGAACAGATAGGCTGTCCTGATTGGGACGCTGCAGCCTTTTTTTTATCTCCTTCGCTAACCTTTTTTTAACACGTCTTCATGGGCTGTACCGCACCTGTTCTGGAGACTTTGCAGGAAGGCTATGTCACCTTGGTTCACTACCTTGTGCTTTCTTCTGACATTGAGAAGAACAAGTGCAAATGATGGACTCTACAGCCTGATACTGCCATGACAGAGCCAGGAACATATTGTCCAGTGAAGGCACTATTCCTTGGCAGCGAACCTCGGCATTAAAAGGTCACCCTCGAAGTGCCTCGCCTCTAGTCTCATTGAGGGTACAAATGAGAAATTCAGAATTCAGTGCGTGTTAGATGGGCATCAACATGAAATATGATCGCCAATATACTAGAAATCTAATATCATGGTGTGACACAGGGCTGCAAAATAATGGTTAAACTGATAATCACGATTATTTCACTCAAAATTTATACTCACGATTATTAAGGTCCGTTTACAACAAGAACGTTAACGACAAAGATAATAAAACAATAACTATATTAGCGTCCACACCAATGAATAAAATTGTGTTTATTAGTTTTGTCGTCTTTCCTTTTAAATGTTTGAACTCTGTAAAAGCAAGATGGATTCTAATTGGGTGTCAAAGTTTTTATCATTCATCAGCTGGAAAAAAAATCTTTTGGCAAAAGATTGCAACAATATAATTTCTCTGTGCTGTTATCGTTATACTTTTATTTTGAGGAATTACTTTTTACCTTTAATTGGGATTATTGCACTTTCACATAGGCAGGAGAACATCAGCTCATATACATGGTTTAATTTACTAATCTATTAATCTATTTTCCTGATTTATTACTGTATACTTAGCCTATCATATAAATAAAAATAACACTCCCTACATTATAAACACTGGTAAAACAAGAAGCTTCTCTTAAAAGATAAAACATGTGGAATTCCTAATAGTAACTTAAAAAATCCCAAAATATGTTAATGCTTTTCTATTAAAACAACAACAAAATAATTTTGTATTGTGGCACGGAGGGTTCTTAAGTGCATCTGTTCAGCAACCACAATCACAAACATTACTGTCAAGATCCATGTTTGGATTTATTACAGTTCATCACCGAGAAAGTTTGATTGCAGATTTAGTCACAGCAAACATGTGAAGGAACAAAGACTGGCTATGTCATGCTCTCATTTAAGCAGAATATTTCGATTGAGATTGCTGAAGGTTTTTTTGTTTTTTTTGTTTTTTGCAGATTATCTGTGCTTTTTTCTCAGTTCAGAGAGAGTGTGTGCACATGGCTGCCAGATTGGGGAGATTAAGTATTACACTGGGCAGAAAATGTGTCCTTTTAAAAGAAAATCTCTGATTGGGGGATTTAAGCTCTTGACATCTGGCAACCCCAAGCATGAAAGCTTGTGGAGGCACATTACCAATGCAAGATTATGCAAATTTCAAATGGGAAAAAAGCCAACAACTTTTTTTTGATAAATAACGAGTGGGCAAATATCGCAGACGGAGAAGCTTAATTAATCATCAGGAACAATAATCGTGATCACGATTAATATACTATTTATAGTGCAACCCTAATATGACTTTTTGAGCAATACTATATGATCAGGATGGAAAACCACCTTGAACAATGTTGTTTTTTTCAACACATTTAGACTGGTAGGGAACTCTGGGGACTTTCACGCATCAGTCTTGTACTTGTTTGCAAGGCTTTCAATCTTTTCACATCTTCAAGGTCATTAGAGCTAAAAAAAATGTGATACCCTTCCAGCAGTGTTCCACATCTTGTCATTTAGTTTCTGACAACTTGTTTTGCAGTTTATGTGCCAAGTACAGGTAGATGTGTGTGAGGCATTTAAGTGCCTTTCAAAAGCTTACTTACGTATGGGTTGTGAATAAAACATTTCAGTGGGGCAGCACCAGCTAAGAAAAACTGAAGTGTAAATCTGGTTCAGCTAGAGCAAATACTCACAGGAAAAGTAAGCCTTAATTGTGTAGCCTTAAGTGTCTAATGCGTAACCCATCAATAATTTAACCGACATGAAGAGTTGAACAAAATGCTAATACCCATCAAAGAGACTGAGAGGGAGCCTTTGGAGTCGATGGCACTGTAATAGAGGCAGGATGGCAACACTCTTTTCTTAACTAATGGAAGATTCCCATTAGGACAAATCAATGCTCAGCTTTGTTAACGCAGACCCAGAACTTAGCTAGCACTATGAAGCCACAAGAGATCCAAAAATCTGCAATATATATAAGAGCAATTCCCACCAACATTGGTTTCTTAGCCCTTATCCTCAACTGCAAAACTATTTTCATCTACTTTGGTGCGTACATGAATTTAAGGCATTGATTGTTCTCAAGGATCAGAGGAAAAGATGATGCATGCATTGGCACACTGCATAAAGAAGCACATTATACAAAGAACAAAAGCGTTTTTGGTGGGGGTTTTTTCCTGGTTGTAGGGTGCCAAAGAAACTGTCATGTATGCAAAAAAACTATTTTTCATACTGTATTTTTGTCTTGTTTTCCAATTAATTAGATTAGTTTTCAAAGAAAATATATAGTATTAACTTAAGCTTATTTTTCCTAACTTATTGGAAAATATTTTTTTCCCTGGTTTTAAGCATACGCTTTTGGTTTATGATTTGGTTAGAAATGAGGAAAAAATAAAATTACCAATGGCATAAGAAAAATAAACTTAAAGCAATATTCTCTGAAAACAAGTCTTACTATTTTATGCAGTTTTTTAGTTCGTCCTGTTTAAGTATGTTTTTACAGGAAAAGGCAACAAAAATACTGAATAAGAAAATGTTTTTTGCAGTTTACTCTAGATCATCCCAAAAACCCTAATGATTCTTTTGCAGGGCTCTGCCATGTTTACTAATGATGAATTCCTTAACATTTCCCATGACATTTCAATATCAGGCTCTTCCATATATGTTGCCGGAGCTGGAGAATCCCATCTGGTCAGATTGTGATGGGAGACATAAGCCTTGTATGAGCAAAGAGCAGAAAGTATGTTTTTCTTGGTGCGGCAGGGTCTGGTGCTCTTTGGAGGCAAACATCAGGAGGCACTGTGCGTCGAAAGAGCGCAAATGAGGAGCATTTTTTAGTTCGTCCTGTTTAAGTATGTTTTTACAGGAAAAGGCAACAAAAATACTGAATAAGAAAATGTTTTTTGCAGTTTACTCTAGATCATCCCAAAAACCCTAATGATTCTTTTGCAGGGCTCTGCCATGTTTACTAATGATGAATTCCTTAACATTTCCCATGACATTTCAATATCAGGCTCTTCCATATATGTTGCCGGAGCTGGAGAATCCCATCTGGTCAGATTGTGATGGGAGACATAAGCCTTGTATGAGCAAAGAGCAGAAAGTATGTTTTTCTTGGTGCGGCAGGGTCTGGTGCTCTTGGGAGGCAAACATCAGGAGGCACTGTGCGTCGAAAGAGCGCAAATGAGGAGCAGAGAGAGAGAAAGTGTGCACAGGCTTCCTGCTCTGGATCCACGGGCACCCATGCCTGTAAGCAAACGCAAACACAACCATTAAGAAAAACAATTTAACCTCCCAAAGGAGAGAAAGAGAGCATTATGGTTTAAATTCTCAGACAGCTCATTTCTAAATCAAAGAGAAATTGCCTAACAATGTAGATAGTGGAGCGGACCTGATATGGAATGTCCAAGAACAAAATACGGTCTGAAACCATTTAAACAAAAATTGTAAGCATCAGGAAGTCAAACTAAATATAAATTAAATACATTCTAATTTATAATTCTATTTATATTTCTATATTAAATATACTAAAACTACATATAAGAGGTCAAACTAAATATTTAAATAAATTATGTTTATAAAATGTATTATAACAACATATGATAAATATTCTATATATAAAGTCAAACATAATTTGTAATTATATACAAGTATTTATTACTAAAATGTATTGTAACTATACACACACACATATATATATATATATACTGTATATATATATATATATATATATATATATCATATGTTGTTAAAATATGCAATGGTTCGGTTGAATGGCTTAGCTTGACAAATTAAATGAAATATTTGATGTATTCATGTTATAGCTTATCTAACATCACCAAAAAAAAAAATTGCATCTAATGTTCATTACACCAATTCGTACCCTATTCACGGAAAAAAAACATTATTGAGGAAAGAATCCTGAAAGCAACTCTCTGTAAGAAGGGGAAGGGAAGTCGAGCACATTTTGATTGCCACCCATTTGAGGGAGTGAAGGAATTGGGGGTGATTCGCACTAATTTATATGCAGCTCTGGCTGCGCAGTGACAGAGATAGATAGTGGAGGAGCGTGCATTTCTTAAAAGGTCGGATTCTACGATGCACTGAAAGACTGAAGCGAACAGAGCAAAATATTTAGGCATCCAAACTGACTGAATCCCCATTAAGAGCTCATCAATGCCGGCGATAGACAAAATAAAAGACGGCAACAGGAAATGACAGACTTACTGAGTTGGTGGATGTGGATGGGCTCGCTTCCTTCCCCTAAGCCCCCTTCACTGAGGGTCTTGATCTGAATGACGTAGTTGTCGTTCAGATTGAGGGTCAACTCAACCGAGGTTTTGTTGGTGATGATGGAGTACATGTCGTTATTCCGGTGTCTTCTGTACAGCACCTGCAGATGATGGCACCCAAATCAATCAAGAGCTTCATTCACAATAATTAAAACTAGGGCTGACAATAATTTTTTTCCAAAATAAAATGAATTACAATGCAAGTCCATTAATTAAATTTATTGCAATTAGTAGCATTTTTGCTAAAAAAAAAAAACGCCCCCAAATGAAGATAGTCATTATTGTGGCATTACAATAGATATACCGGATTTATAAAAGTGCTCATTATTAAAAAAAATAATAATTAAATTAATTAATTACACTGAATTAATGCATCAAATTGACTGCTCTAATAAAAACTGAAGCTGATTTTTAAAATGATCTGGATAAAATGCAAGTGCTTTCCCATGCAGCAATGATGCTAGAATGTTGGGGGTAGAGAGGTTGCTATGTGGTTGCTAGGGTGTTCTGAGTGGTTTCCAGGGTATTGTGGACCCTAGATATGGCCAGCGTTCCTCTGTTTATAGTAAATAATAGCATACCTCCTCTCAAAAAGCCACACGATTTGAGGCATCATTCATGTCTGTAGTAGTTTAATATTTAGAGATCGACTAAGTATAAGCAACAGTGATGTAGCACCACTAATTATATATATATATATATATATATATATATATATATATTAGTTAAACACAGGTGATGCGCCCTGTTATTCTAGATCATGTTTACTGATGCTAATGGCTAGTGCTTTTCCCCTGAGCTTCATGACTGTTTTCCCTTGTGGGGAAATTAGCACTGTGAGAGCTGTTAATTACATGCATGTGTAATTAAGAGAGGTGGAACGAGACATGAAATAGCACATGCTGTGCTCTTATCTATAAAAACACACAAATGAATGGTTTTCGACCATGTAACTGCCATATCTTTGTAGCTAAATTACTGCACCCTGACAACCCTTATTATGTATATCAATGGTATCAGATGCAAATATGCAGTGTAGTTCCTGCAGTCATTGTTTGGCTCACAATGTAGGAATGGAAATGCCTGACTGCTAAAGGGAAAACAATGGATTACCTCCAGTGAAACTCTTATATAATATACGAAAGCATTTTCTGGGTGCAGAGAGATAATATCACTCACTATGTATCCCGTGACCTCAGATTCAGTTTCAAGAGCGATGACGGGATCCCACTGCAACACGAGCTGAGAGCCAATCAGATTCCACTCTACGTTCTGAGGGGGTTGTCCAGGCGCTGAGGTTTGTTGTGTATGAAAGAATTGGGCAGAAAAAGAAAGAAAGGGTTCACAGTGTGCGATCAATTGTGTGACTGCATTCGATAACACCAAAATGTTTGACAAGCAAATTAGTAATGTCAGTAGGGGAAGTTTCTTTCAGCGCAAATCTGTTGTTAAATCAGAGCCGTTTCTTTCACAGATGGACTTGGAAACTGTGATTCATACCAATTAGATAGGATTGGTTTCCACAGTTTGATATTGTCTGAGATGTCTTTTTTCTTTTATTTATTTATTGACTGGTTTTAATTTAGCTTCTAAGTTTAGAGAGAGCTGTTCAGCCCTTTGGGTCAATTTCTGCTGCTTTTAAATGCTTTATAAATAAACTTGACTTGACTACTATCAAAATAGATGGTTGAAAACTCTTTCAGTTGGAAAAAACACCCTCAAGTCATGCCACAGCAGGTTCACAGCAAGTGTGTGTAGACTTAGTGATCTGTCCAAAAGTTACAAGTTCTAAACCTTTCACAGACATAACTCAAAAAACAAAGCAAGAATGTACAATTCTGCTAGTTTATGTACTACTAGGTGCCTCAAGATAAAATCTTTTTGATGTTACCTAAAAAAAACAAAAAAACCTCTTGAGGCAGAAATAGATTCCCATAACATTCACCAGGGTAAAAAAATACATGTGAAGATAAAAAGAGAGATACGGACATCTATAAAACGTTGTTCTTATACCCATGGAACATTTGGCTAACGGACTACGGATGAGTAAATTACATCTTGCAGCTATAATGCTCACATCAAATAAACGTGTCAGCAACATATGATCGTGGAATGTTCTTGTAATGGCCAGAGTACTTACGTGGCTTTTTGGTGGTAACATTGACAGGTACAGACTGGGGGCCAGTTCCTGCAGTATTGAAGGCACACACCGCTAGATAATACTGAGTGTTCCCCTGCAGGCCACTGACATTGACTGCTGTGTAGTTTCCAGTGATCCGCACTTTACCCACCGTATCCGGCTTGGTGTCATCTTCCCAGTACACCACCTGTTCGCCAGGACACACAACAAGGGCATTTTATATATCTTTGAAATTAGTTGTAAACAGCTTTCTGCCAGAACAATTACCTAAATATGCAGATTTTTCTCATAAGAAGTGCTACTATGAAAATAAAAAAGTTTTTGGCATGGCCACTTAACTCAAACAGTTACTAACAGAAATGCGTTAATTGGGAAAGTGTTAAATCTCAGGAAAATATACAAAGTAAATGCCAAGTATTTTTATCTGCTGCCAAAGAAGGTGAGATACGATTTGCACAGAATTTATTACATTCTATTAAAAGTCATTAGTACTCATTACATTTGGCTAGAGATTTCTAATGAGTCAATCAATAACAAAGTGATCAGTTCAGATATTTGATACACATATTTGACTTCACCTTCATTATGCACTTCATTTAGCTGATCATTTGTGTCCTTTCTGCAAATTGCAAGCTTGAGAACATATTTCTGGCTGCAGGAAATATGATATTCTTCTGAAATGTAGATTCTCTTGAGGATATGAAATTTCAATTAACTTTTAGCTGTGTGCTAGCCTAGGTGAGAAACAATTAGGTAGCGGGAATGAAATAATAAATGATTAACCCCCGGGTCACATGTAATATCAACATTGAGGCATTTAGTATAGGAAGATTTAAGTCAATTTCAAAATTAGAGAGTTATGAGATCTGCCTACGGGAGGTATATTTCTAAATTATTTATTTTTTCTACCTTTTGCTTTCTACATTCTGCTTTCTATCTTTTGCAGAATAGTACATTGCGTCATTCAGAATGAGAATGTAGTTTTTCATTCCAATTCAGTTATTAAATTCAAACTCAGACTGCAAACAGGAAGCAAAATATCATTTCAAAACTGAATGTAAGGAAAAAAATTAACAAATTCAAATGAAAGTCATATGTATTTTGACTTTTGTATAGGTATTTTTTAACTGATTTTGAGATTTTTTTTAATGCCACCTATAGATTTTTTTTTTTTACAATGCTGTTTAAAAGTTTGGAGTTGGTAAGATTTTTACTTTTGAAAGAAGTCTCCTACATTCACCAAGGTTGCATTTATTTGATCAAAAATGGAGTAAAACTAATATTGTGAAATAACAGTTAGGTTTATTTTAAAATATTTTGAAATGTAATTTACTTCTGTGATTGCAATGCTTGATTGCAATTTTTAGACTCCAGTCTCACATAATTCTTCAGAAATCATTCTAATGCGGTTTTGGTGCATTTCAATGAATCTTCCTGACCTCAAACCTTTGAATGGCAGTATATATATTTTATCATGTTAAATAAACATTTGTGGAGCAGGGAAGAACAACACTTAATTTCCCAGAATGCATTACCTGTGTTGAATTACTTTAAATTGCAATTCAAACTATGCAAAGTAATGCAAAGCAAATTCCTCCTGTTATTCCTAATTTAATTCCAATTCAGCTTCCTGTAGGTGTGACCAATTCAATGCAAATTCCAAGTCATGAATTGAAAAGAAGCCGATCTGTGGCACTGACCATGTGTATTCCATGTGAAGTAAGATGTTCTCGCTTCCACTGAACCACAAGATGTCCTAAGTATTATGCTGACAATATAATTTATATTTACAGAGTAGCATTAAATTAGAAAAATGCAAAACAGATGCATCTGCATTAGCAGTCTCAGACTTTTTGACCTTACTCTTTGTTTTTTTTGCAAGACGAAATGCAGTGATAGTTTAAAAAGGAATTTTCCATTTTAAATGCTGCAGGTGCTTCAAAGGACTGTGAGCACAAATAAATGGTGTATACTCATACAGCGCAGTTCCTTGATCCATGCTGCTTTGATTTGTTCTTTCAGTATTCGCTAACCAAAGACGAGACAAAAATAAAACCTGAAAACTTTTCCCCTCGTCTAGAATCCAGTGATATGATAGTTCTATTCTTCCCAGACAATATGGCCGCTACCATGGCAACGTGGCGGTTTTGTGCCGCAGGGCAGGGGTGACAGAGATGTAGAGAGTGAAAAAGCAAGACTCTTTTTGCATTCTTGAAAGGCCAGTGGAGAGCTTTCATCTAGCTTCTAAGAGCCGTAGACATTTAACAAAGCTGCAGCACTGTCTAAACACTGGCATTCTCCATGTTTGAGGTGGCATGGGAGAGGTGAGAAGCACTTTTAATAATCGCTCGAGATTTGGATCACATCATTACAGGGAAAACAAGACATTTAATATGGCGAACGGGAAGACAATGTGAATCAAACCTCATATCCGAGAACTCTTTCAGGGGTCGACACAGTGGGCTCCCAGGTAACTTCGATGTCAGCCGCTGACAGACTTTTTGCTGACACTCTCTCTGGCGCTATGCTCGGCACTGCGGAGAAATGGAGAGATGTTGAGGCTCTTATTCAAAAAGCTTTACACAGCCATCGAAGTAAAATTGGATTAAGTCAGTGAATGAAGCCCTGGTCTCACCTGAAATAGGCCTTACTTCATTTTAATGGTTACTCTGACTGACAGAGAAGGAGACAATCTGCTGGGAAAATTCAATTAACACTCTAGCACATGAATAGGCATGTAAGTGTCTAGCAGGATTTGTTGTAACCTATAGCCACAATAACTAATATAAGGTTGTCGTTCGCAGCTTGAATGAGGGAGGAGGGGCGTTAGCTGTCTCAATCAACTTATTACATCATACTCATTCAAGGTCACACCTGTATGTGCGAAGGGAAGGAACCAAGAGTGTGAACATGAAGGGACTACTGCGGAGTCTGACTGTGTTTGTGTGCTCCTAATATTTTAGCTCCACAGGCCCACACGATGTATCGCTAACTGGCCTATATTAGTATTTCTGGATGATTAGGCCAAAATTGAAAGCAGATGACATCAAGGCTCAGACTATTAGGCTTATATGTAGGATTAGTGATATGAACTAATTGTACTATTTTGCTATTATTTTCTATAGCAAATATGGGCTATTTTTGCTATTGCTGAAAATGTCAGTGAATGATGAAAAAAACATCAAGAGCAAAAAAACAACAACAAAAAAAACCCAGACTTGCATACAGTACTATTCAAAAGTTTATTTATTTATTTATTTTTTAAGAAATTAGCAAGGATGCATTAAATTGATCATAAGTGACAGTAAAGAATTTCACATCGTTACAAAAATTTATATTTAAAATAAATGGTGATCTTTGGAACTTTCTATTCATCGTTTAAAAAAAATACTAAGCAGCACAATGTTTTCAACACTGATAATAAGAAATGTTTCTTAAGCACCAAATCAGCATATTAGAATGATTTCTGAAGGATCATGTGATACTCAACACTGGAGTAATGATGCTGCAAATTTGCCATAACAGAAATAAATTAAATTTTAAATTATATTCATATAGAAAACAGTTATTTTAAATTGTAACATTATATCACATTATTACTATTTTTGCTGTATTTTTGATCAAATAAATGCAGCCTTGGTGTGCATAAGAGACCTATTTTTAAAAAAAAACAACTTTTGAATGTATGTCAGCCATATCTAGATACCAGAATATCATATAATTGGGTTATATGATATACTTTGCTTTTTTTCACTTTATTGAAACAACATCAAAAGTTCAAACATTGTGCCTAATAATAAAAGTTCATTCATGGTAAAATCATTGTAATGCACTACCATTCATAGCTTACTGCTTTTTGTAAATATTTCATATTATCTGTAAAATAGTCACGCAAAATAATAATTATAATATTTGTAATTATTTTATATATTCCAATAATTATAATATTGGTTTCACATTGTTACATTATTCTACAAATATCTAAAAATATGGTTAAGAATGAAGCCTTTCTGTGTGCATGAGTTGTACACAAGTCCAGCTCTACCTTCCTCTGCGGAGAACACTGTTGCAATGCTGCTGAAAGGTCCTTCTCCACGGTTGTTGAACGCTCCCACTTTGACATTGAATGGTGAGAACGGTGGGATGGTGTCATTGCGGAAAACGTAGCGGGTGACGCTGGGTGCCGAGATCACGGCACGGGTCCAGGTGACCAAGCCCACTGACCGAAAAGCGATGATATAACCGAAGCCCTCTCCATTCTGCAACTCCTCTGGAACAGGCTTAGAGTGGAACACAAAACTATAGTGATATTAAAACAAATTGAGGTCAACACACCAACTGACCCACATGACAACAGGGCTTTATTAGCACTTAGTTTAAAGACCACTTTCTTTCACAAGTTGTTTTAATTGTTATGCATGCAGTTTTCATGAATTCATATCAGTATAGAGACAAAGATGGAACGTTTAAAGGACTTAAAGGGATAGTTCACCCTAAAATGAAAATTATGTCATTAATTACTCACCCTCATGTCGTTCCAAACCCATAAGACCTTCGTTCATCTTTGGAACACAAATTAAGATATTTTAACCACTGAAGTCACATGGACTATATTTACCAATGTCCTTACTAAGTTTCTGGGCAATAAAACATTTCAGTTGCGTTGCTGTCTATGCAGGGTCATAAAACTCTTGGATTTCTTAAAAAATATCTTAATTTGAGTTCCAAAGATGAACGAAGGTCTTACGGGTTTGGAACGACATGAGGGTGAGTAAATAATGATAGAATTTTCATTTTTGGGTGAACTATCCCTTTAAGTTACCGGAAAAAAAGCTAAATGGTGACAAATACGAGGGTAAAAATAAACAAACTTTCCTCTCATACATACAAGACTACCGTTCAAAAAGTTTGGGGTCTGTAAGATTTTTTTAGGTTTTTGAAAGAAGTCTTTTATGCTCACCAAAGGTGCATTTATATGATCAAAATACAATAAAAACAGTAGTATTGTAAAATATTATTACAACTTAAAATAACTGTTTTTTACATGATCATTACATGATCCTTCTAGATATTAAATAAATAATAATAGCTGATCCGATGCTCAAGAAATATTTCTTATTATCAATGCTGAAAACAGTTTGAATACTTAATATTTTTGTGGGAAATATCTTTTTTTGAGGATTATTTAAAACTTTTGAACAATCGTGTATGTATTCATTTGAGAACAGCTTTTTTTGTTGTTTGTATCACTCTGATTTTGCTGAAACTGCTATTGCACCACTCTGCTCACTATTGGAATAGGATAGGTACAGAATAGTAGGCAAAAATGGCTCTCCAACATGCGATAGTAGGTTACCTAAAATACACTAAATCACTTCTAGTTCATAAAAGGCTTTGACAATTTAAATTAAAGCATTTCTGCAGCATTTCATATGAATGTTAGACTTTTCCCTTGCTAAACCCTTATTTCCTCTATGACGTATTGGAACAGAATGAAGCCTATTTGCGGGTGAAATAAACTTCAAAGAAACTCTCTGGCCCTGAGTTAACTTCCATTTGGAGGAGAAGTAGTAAAGCCTGGAGTCCGGAGGCCAGGAGGGAGGGTTCTTGGTACAGGCAACGATCATAAAATGGCTACATTTCATTCTACACAATTAAGCACCGGCATTTAGCCCAGCTGGCCGAGGGAGCAGTAAAATCTGACAAATGACTTACCTCCCATGTTATCACTAATTCCGATTTGGTACCTCCTCCGCCTCCGACATCAGTGGGAGCCGTGTCAGGCACTGCAGGCAAAAACCCAAAAACGAGATTAAAACGCCGGCAGAGCTCTGATTGGGATTTTGTCATTGCATGTTTGAGCATCAAAAGTGTATTTCAATTTTCATCACATAAAGACTCTAAACTATCTCTCTCACAGAGGTTCTACCTTCTTTAGAAAATCCCTCAGAGATTTGTGAATAAGAGATTGTGTTTAGGCGGAATAGGCTTGAGTGTTGCATGTGGAATAAAAATGATGGCTGTGACATATGAATGGAGAATTGAGGATGTATGGTCTGCTCCAGTGCTTTCAATTTCAGTGCCTGTCTGAAATATGGCAAAGAGATTCAGTGAAAGCCTCACACTAGCATACTCACTAGCATCTTCTGTTCTGATTTTGGTAGAAGGTGGACTGGGCTCTCCCATCCCGACACTGTTACTGGCCAGCACTCTGAACTCATATTCCACCCAAGCGTTCAAACCCACCACAGTTGCAGTCAGAGTGTTCCCATTGATCGCCTCAGGAACTGAGGATAAGAAGAATAGTAAAATACAATAGCAACTAATAAAATAGTTAAAGCAGTAAAAGTGTAAGCACTAAAATGACAAAAAAAAGAAATAAAATAAAGCTAAATAAAATTTAAAACTATTAAAATGACAAAACACAAAAAATCTTGAACTAAAATTACAATGAAAAAATAAAAATAAAATAAAACTGACACGCATAGATAGATAGATAGATAGATAGATAGATAGATAGATAGATA